TTATAGTGAAATCAAACTCGAATTGGTACAATTGAACTCGAATTATTACAATTGAAGTCAAATTAGTACAATCTCGATCAATTATAGTGAAATCGAACTCGAATTAGTCCAATTGAAGTCAACAAGTAACATGGATTCTGAGAATCCGTGTATTAAAGTCAACACATAACACAGATTCTGAGAATCCATGTTTCGCTTAATATAAAAAAAAAATCGGGTCCGAAACCCTCACCCCGTTCTTCTTCCTCCTTCACCCCCGATCCCTCTCTCCTCCGACGATCTCCCGCCGCTGCTCTCTGTCCTCCGCCGACCGCCAACCGCCGCTGCTCTCGACCTCCCGCCACCGCAGCTCTCTCTCTCCTCTGCCGACCGCCGCCCTCTCCTCTCTCCTCCGTCGACCGCCGTCGCCGATGCCCTCTCCTCCGCCGTTGAGCCCTTCCGACCCTCGTCCGTCCCATTATTCGAACGTAATCCCGAGAACTGTACCGAGCGCATCCCTCTCGTTAATTTTTCGATGTATTTGCCGTATGAATTTGTGTTCGATGATATTGTGCTCGAATATGTGTTCGATGATATTGAATTTGCCGTATGAATTTGTGTTCGATGATATTTGTGTTCGATTTAGTTCAATATGTTAGTTGTGCATAGTCGATTGTGAATATTGTGCTCGATTGTGCATATTGTGCTCGATTGTGAATATTGTGCTCGTTTGTGAACATTGGTGGATATTGTTGGTTGATTGTGAATATTTGTGGATATTGGTTGATTGTGAATATTATGATCGATTGGTTGATTGTTTGTTGATTGTGAATATTGTTGGTTGATTGTGAATATTGGTGGATATTGTTGATTGATTGTGAATATTGGTGAATATTGTTGGTTGATTGTGAATATTGTACTCTCCCGTGTTGGTTGACTATAGGGTTACGATAATGAAATCAAAGAATAGGTGGAAACGAAAATTTAATACAATTCTAATTTCAAATCATCTTTAGGAATATTATTTTTGTAAAGATATATTATTCGTGAATTAACTATAATTAAATCAAGGATTAATGAGTAATTTTATTTATTTATATGATAAAACAGCTGGGCTGTACTCAACAAACCAATATGCAACACAAGCATAATTCAACTGAACATGTGGAAAAATTCCTGAATAATTCCAATTGATTTGCTGGGTCATGTGCGCCGATCAAATACAAAAAAAAATAAAAGAATTAAATATATCTCACAAAATTATAAATTATAAAAATATGTCTCACAAAAATAAAAATTATATCTCACAAAAATTAAATATATCTCACAAAAATAAAATCTCGGTCATTTTCAAAAGAAAATGGCATCGTCTTCCTCAAACCCTCAACCCTACACCCCACACCCCGGCCCCAGTGACCCGTCACTTCTATATCTTCAGAACCGCCACCGGTCCAAGGCGGTATATGAGGACGCACCGGGGTTTCGCCACGGCGTGGTTAAACCACGCCGTGCGGACACCCAGTTCTGGGCTGCCTTGGAGGGCAACAAGCAGAATGCCCGGACCTGGGAGGTCCCGACAAACAATTCCCTCATTACATGTCTGCTGGAGAGGTGGCGTCTGGAGACACACACCTTCCATTTCGACTTCGGGGAGGCCACGATCACTCTCCAGGACGTTCAGATACTATTTGGTCTCCCCATCAGCGGGGAACCGTGCTGGGGACAGACCGTACAGTGGACTCCCTAAGAGTGGAGAGGCTTATGCATGGACGCTCTTAAGTACCTCCCATATGTACAGGTATATTTTTACCTATAACTTTTTTTAGCTTATTTTGTTTTTTTTTTATTTATTTATTTTTATTTTTTTTATTGTGTTTATGTATACTTAAGTCATGGGTCGTTTTTAATATATATATATATAAACGTATTTCAAGAATGTCGGGGACCAGGACTACGACCCCAAGACTTGGGACATTTCAGGCTAGTACCTGTATTTCAGTAGTCTGGAAGACGAGTGCAAGCGACCTCTGGAGGATGGACTCCCTACATCAGAGTACGAGAGGAGGGCGAGAGCCCTGATACTCTGGTGTATTGGGTCCTTCTTCTTTCCCTCCCATCGGACCAACGGAGTCAACTTTTACTGGTTGTCCCTGTTGAATGTCATCGATGCCATTCCGGGGTACAGCTGGGGTGGAGTGCTTCTGGCCGGGGTATATAGAGCGCTTTGCGACGCTTACGAGAGGGACGGAAAATATATCAAGAGTTGCGTGCAGTTGATTCAGGTAAATTTATTTACTTGTTAATTGCAAATTAATTTTATTTATTATAAATTACAATAATATGTCCTAAAAAATGTATATGTCCATATGCGCAGGTTTGGGCATGGGAACGCATCCCTCGTGTTCGCCCATTCATGAGAAAAACTCGTTTCGGCTCTCAGGCTGGTTTTCCCTTGGGTGCAAGGTAATAATAACCTTTATTTATATTCAACACTTAAGTTATTTCAATTATCAAATTTTGTAATTACAAATAGTTTTTTTCTGTGATTTTTAAGGTGGGTGGGATCGAGGGACATGAGGCACCTGGGGACGGGCACGGCTACCATCCGAGATCAGCTGAGTGGCCTGAGAGAGACTGATGTAAGTTTCTTAGGTCATAATAATAAATAATTATTATTTTTTTAATTCTATTTTTTTATTAAATTCATTAATAATTATATAATTTTTTTTTTTTACAGTTCGATTGGGTACCCTACCAGACGTACATAGACGAGGGTCGGCTCCCGGACCAGTGTACACGAGACCGACATCTCTGGATGTACAAGGGGTAGATCTTCTGCTAGAACATCGCAGAACCCCACCAACCTGATAGGGTGCTCCGCCAGTTTCGGTGCCACCAGCCCATCCCCCAGACGCCGATACTAGTCTGGCCGACTGGGACAACCGCCACAAAGGGCAGGGCATGACTGGGAGGGCATATACCGATTGGCGGGCCTTCCATGCTGATCTTGGGAGGATCTAGACCGAAGACAGAGATCAGAACGTCCTCCTAGATGTCCCGGTGGATCCCTTCCTGCAGCCAATAGAGGGGTACATTGATTGGTATCACAGTATGACTGTGAGACTATTCAATGACCCTAACAACTACGCGGCGATCTCACAGAACGGCGGGTTTCAGCCATATGCTGACCGGGAGAAGTGTCAGGTAAGTGTCTGCTAATTTGTGATTTTTATTATTATTATTATTATTATTATTATTATTATTATTATTATTGAAGTTATTATTATTATTATTTTTAATATTTAATAGTTATTTGAATTTTATTTTCAGAATTTGGGTACGAAGTGGGCGTATAAATCGAACATTGAAGATATTGATACGCTACCTCCCCGAGCGCAGACACAGTTCCAGCAAGCCTAGGAACTTCTGTACGCTTCTCTGACTGTTGGGGGTCAGTCGGTCACACAAGGGGCATCGTCGGAGCAAATTCTATCTCAAGAGGAGTACGCCCCATCCTAGCAGACAGAGTCCCAGCGGGCGAGGCATAGACCGACGCCCCACATTGGTGGAGGGAGAAGACGTCGTGACCGCGAACCCGCCGCTGCATTCCCCAGGAATGAAGAAGGTGAGAGATTTTTATTTAACTACAAATATATATTTTATTTTTGTTTGTTTTTATTTATTTATCCAATCGAATTACTGATTTCTTACAAAAATTAATTAATTAGGTGAAGAAGAACAAGAAGAACCAGTCACGCCTGGACCGACCGCAGGAGCGTTTTATTCGGTACCACGGCCTCGGAGAGGGTCCCGAATACGCAGGCCTAAGCATGCATATACTCCTAGTTAGTTTGTGTTGTATTCTCTGATTTTGTGGACATTTTCTTTTTTTTCTTTTATTTTTTGTACTGGATTTTAAGATATTTATTCTTGATTGTTTTGTGTACATATTTTGTGGTTCACTTTTTTTTTATCTGTAATTGTGGTTGACTTTTTTTATATAGTGTTCGTGTATGTATACATGCTAAATTTATAATTTGACGAATGAATTGATATTAAAGTGATATTATTTCATGTTCAAAATGTTGAATAAAGTTTTCTTTTTAAAAAAACTTAATATTGAAGGATAAGAATAAAAATTCAGCCAAAATAAACGCGATCGCTGGTAAACAAGTTCCGTGTTCTCGGATAACATGGATTTTCACAATCCGTTTTAGTAAACACGAATTTTCATAACATGTTTTTAGTTGAATTAATTAAGTGTAATCACGTCATTAAGGAAACACGGATTCTGAAAATCCGTGTTTCAATCAGAATTAAGGAAAAACGGATTCTGAGAATCCGTGTTTCCTTGAAACACGGATTCCCAAGATCCGCCTGTTTGACTTTTTTTCAGAAACTTTTTTTTTTTACTTATTTTTGTCCACGGATTTTTTGTTTATTTTATTTAAATAAATGATTCAGAAGAAATTTCTCAATTTTTATAAGTCATTATATATATACATATAAAAAGGAAACAACACAAAATATGGATAAAAATGCAAAAAATATTTCTAATATATATAATTAAAACTCATTTTCTATGCTATTTTAATTTAAATTGATAATATTATATATTTTTTGAAAAATATACTAACAACCTTTAGATTCTAGATAAGTTTTTAAAAATATTACAATGATATACACTTTCAACCTCTTAATTGTAAGTCGATTTAGTGATTCATAAAATTAAATATTTAGTTGGATTGTTATATTTTTTAATATAGATTTTTTACTTTACTTTGTGAAATCACACATTTTTTAACTTTATTTATTTTTTCGTCATTTGATAAGCTCTCACCAACAAAAATGCTATGCAATGTGTTGCAAAGTTCAATTTAAATCAAATTTTCAAAAGAAAAAGAAAAAAAAAAACTGATTTTTCATAAATTATAGTTGTTAAATTTAAATTATAAATACATAAAATCTCATTTCTATTTTTTGTTTATTTTTTTAAGCGTTTGAGAATGATGCAGATTCTAAATTTTTAAAAATTTTATACATATATGGATATTTATATTTATAAGTAAACATATTTTTATATGTATAAGCGTTTCGACTTAAACTATAAGCTCGGTATTTAACATTCAAAATCGAGCCCCCTAAGAGTCAAAATCTGTCTCCAAAGTGAACAAAAAACGCGCCTTTCCTAGTGTTGTTATCAACGGCATACTCTACACGAGCCTGGCCAAACTTTACCCCGAGCCCATACGACGAGCCTTGTCCCTGTCGCATGCTCGACTTTGTCGGATTTCCGGCTAAGCCAACCGAGCTCCCCAAATCATTTCCGTGTTCCGCAAACGCATAAGCAAAAGCACCATTTGTCACCGGTACGCGAACCTCAGCTGCCACCTATCATTCAAAAATTAGTTACACTCGAAATATTAGCAATAGTTTTGAGCTATAGGCGACAAACGAAATGGAGGACTATAGGCGACAAACGAAAATGGAGAAGGGGTCTGAGAGCACAACAGAATATATTTTTTGAAGAAACTTTTTTTGCAGACGTCAAACTTAATACATTAATTTAAAAAAATAATCAAATAAAGTACACTAATCATTAGTTAGTGACAGTCTAACCATATAATATACCTCAAGTTTACGTCGGGAAGCCCCAAGCTCTCCCATGTCGTAGCCCCTGACCGAATGTGGCCCGCCAATGGTAAAAGCTTCGTGATTCGGAAGGTCTCCCAAGCAGTTCCCGAAAAGGCTGTGAAGGACTAAAACCGGTGGTGTGGGATTGCCTTTCCCTTCCTTCACTTTTCTCAACGGGATAAACCTCGTTGCAGATACTTTGGCCCGGTTGAAAAACGGAAACTTGGTACCAATCCCCAACCCTTGATCCACCTGATTTTTTTATTTTTTTTTAATTCAACATTAGTTAAAAACCAACATGTGTATACATTCAAAGGGTGGTTCAAATTAATTTAGAACTTGTCATGTGGAAGAGTTTAAATGATGAGATAACCTGGAACACGTCCCTAGCGCCAACGAGTGCCCCATTGATGAATCTTGTGTTGTCTCTCATAAGATTCGCTTGTAAGAAAGCCATTCGGTCATTGCCAGTGCCACTAAGCGTCGTTAAAGGTCCATTATGTCTCAACTGACCATCAACCACCCTATAGCCTCTGCCGACTACATGCCCATCTTCGTCCCGGGTTTTTATATCTTCCATAACTAGTCCATATGTGAGTTTGCTCTGTTTTGTGAAATCCTTTTTTTTTTTTCAAATAAAAACAGAGCCCAAAGAAAATGATAAGGAGAACGGAAAACAAATGGGAGATATTTACATATCAATCACATTCGTACACACAAATGTCGAATTACGGAGTTTGTTTAAAATTTACCTCTGTTATGGTGGCCTTAATTCCCTGTCTATCGACCCATATGGGGATGTCAACCGAGTGCTGACTGCCTCTGAACACGGGGCTTAGTTTTCTAGAGTTGAAACAAACTGCTTGAAATTTACGGCTCCTAGGATTATCTATGCCGTCAAGGTATGGATGTGTGTACTCGAAATTGAAATCAACGTCATCCTGTCAAATATAATTAGACAGACAGCATCAGATACACCAGTTAGTATTTCACATGTACAAAATCATGAACAATATGCAATGTCCAATTGAAATTTTGTATAGGTGATAAACATCATAATTAATTGACCTGCGGATTTAAGAAATTGTTGAATGTCAATTTCCCTTCAAACGATCGGTTCAAGCCTTTGATATTACGTTTCCCAAACGATATTGTTGCACCTGGCCGCGACCAGTCCTGAAGTAAAACCCATAAGAGATTACAATGTCAACAACCAAATCCACTAAACGTACGAATGAGAAAACTGAAAAACGGATTCTCACTATTGTCGGTAGACTGAGGGGTCTGCGAACTACATTCCAATTCGCTTGCACGTCAGACCACTGATAATCGTGAGGCTCTTGCAGTACAATTTGCAGAGATAGCCCTCCGCCATTCGTCTCTTGACTCTCTTCACGTTCCGGAGTATATCCTATCCGAGAGAAAATCTTGAGAGAGTCCAGATTTTGCACCACCCTATTAAGGGCCTTCACGTTGAACGGCTTCCCAATAGCAACCTGTAAAAAATCGGATAAGTAAAAATTGCCAGCAAATGAACAAGCTAACACCTACACACAACACACTTAAAGTTTAAATTAAACACCTAACCTCCTCCTCAGCCAGCGCTCTCTCGATGAGCTTAACATTAGTCTTCCCTTCGCAAACATTCCCAAGACTGTCCTCAAACTTAATGTTCAAGTCCCCAATATCCCCTTCGTCAACCTCGAAGATTATCTCCTTTCTCGAGATCCATCCAGGCTGGCTAAACCTCACGACCTGCGCCAGAGCATACCCGTTTTCCCTATACCAATTCTCAATCATCCCGATTATTCTCGACACCACGCTCGATTTCAGCTGCCAATCCTCCCTCAGTTCCGAGTTGATCTCTTCTTGCACGCTTACAGGGAGAATGCAGTCGGGAGCCAGCTTGACTCTCCTCCGATACTTCATGGTTTCATTCATCTCGAGCTCTTTTTTCTCTGAGCTCGTCAAGTCTGGAGGCACCTCGACTGGGGGCTCGTCCGGGAGCATTCCCACGCTCGCGAATCTGGCGAGCGGGAGGGATCGGTACGTGTACACGGTTTCTGTGTAGGGGATTATGATGTCGAGGGTTCCGTCGGGGTTAGTTTTGGCCTGGAGATCGATTTTCGAAAAGTAAGGGAACGAGGAGAGGTGCTCGAGGGCCGACTGGAGGTCGGATTTGGTGTAGGCCCGGCCCGGTTGGAGGGGGACGATGACGTGGCGGCCGAAGGAGTTGTGGCCGTCGGGGTCGACGAGGTTGNGGGGTTGGGGTTGGGGTTGGGGTGGCGGAGGGGGTTGGTGAACAGGGTGCCGATGGAGAGGGGGAGCGGAGGCTCTTCGGCGGATGCGGCGGAGGAAGACATCGACGGAATTGTGTTGGGAGAAGAAGGGTGGCCAAGCAATTTATTAGATGGTTTGGTGATGTTGATGTAGTTGTTTAATTATTAAACTTAGTTAATGGAAAGTAGACTAGAGGTTTTAGAAATTTGGGTTGTGATCGAATTAATTTCGGACACGAACTCCTTATGCCTCGGTTTATATGGAAATAGAATCTATATATAATATAAAATTGATGGCAAGATTTAATAAAATTTATGTAAAAAGCAATAAATAAAATTAGGACATTATTTAATAACAATTTTTATGATCATAGTTACACAAATAAAACTTTATTATTATTAATTTTTTATTTTGTATTATAGTTATACAATAACCAAAAAAATAAAAAACAAAACAAAAAACAAAATACTGAATTATATGAAAGTTAAATAATTTATTTTATTTATATTATACATTTACATATAGTCAAAATTTTAAAATGTAACACACTTTATCTAATTTAAAGTTTTAAATATCTATACATACATATAATATATAAATTTTTGTTTCCCCCTGTGCATGTACACAGGATCGAATACTAGTAGGGCAGTTTTTTGCTTGAAGAATAAAACTATTTTGATATTAAGATTAAGAAAAAAAGTNGAAAGTATAGGTACATTTATTTTAAAATTGATACAAACCGTATGCAAATTAGGTCATGAAAGTAACAGAATTTCGAAAACCAAAACGGTCCTTAAATCGGTCAATTAGTTTAATGGTTTATTGGTATGTTCGATCGGTTCTTTCGCAATTGGCTTTTTCAAGAGAATCATACTGGTATAGTGATTGGTTCCAACCAATCCAATTAGCCAGTTTGGTCTGATTCTCACAACTATGAATAAAAAAGATTTTTTCAAGGGATATAGAGGTGTCCGATGAGTATTTTGGCAAACCCGAACCCCACCATATATATTTTTCCCTACCCGAACCTACCTACTATCTGTCTATTGACCTTCGAGTTTGAGTTTTACCTGACGGGTGATTGGGTGATCGTCGGGTATACGGGTAACCTGAATTCTTAAAATTATTATTTACCCGTGATGAGTAACTTGAATTCTTAAATTTATTTTTTACCCGGTCTCAATACGACCCACTTCATCTGTAGAAAAATAAAAATAATTCTAGAATTAATTATAATACATAACAAATTATTAACCAAGTTTGAGAATTAAATATTCTAAAAAATGGAAGAATGGAAGATTGTCAGAATACCAGATAGTCAATTAAGAGAATTTTTGCTAAATGAATGCTTGGAAAGGAAGCAAAAGGTAAAAAGGTTTGAGATTAAACGCGGTGCCGCTTTTACAGTGGAGAAAGGTGTTGGGTTCGCCTGTACCGTACGGGTTATACGCAGCGAAAATTATGTTTAAAAAACAAGTATTTATCGTATAAACACTCAACCCATACGTACATATAGCGAATGCACGAATCGTCATCATTTAAAAACATGTAATAATACAAATTTTGATTTGTTATAAGTAAATTAAATTTACCTTTGTTCTTGAACTCCTTCAAAATTGACGATGAATGAGGAAATCAATTCTCGGTTTGGTAACGTCCACTTCTTGATGTTACTCGCTTTAGGAATCCAAATGTTTTCCCTATAATCGTGTCCACCTTTTGAAATTCGGTTCCGTAATAGTTTCTTCGCTAGTAGAAACTACTCGGTTTTTATTCAATAAGTATAGAATATATTTTGAGGAGATTTTTACAAGAACTCTTTCTTGTTTTATATTTTGAAGAACACTTCTTCTTTTCTATCTTTTTCAACTCTTGAAAAACTTAGCAAAACTTGGATTAAAATGAACATCATGTATGTCCATATTTATACTAAACATTTTAGTATAAAATAATAATATTTGGTGGAATATTTTCATAAAATATAAAAAGTCTTCAAGAATATTTTCATAAAATATTCATTCTTGAATAGGACTATTCCCACTAAATATTGTATTAATAAAAATAAGATTAATTATGTAGAGTAGTTAACAACTCCAAACCACCATAATTAATTTATTCTTATTAATATAAAATAATAATTCTTGAAAACAATTTTTTAAGACTTTATTATTTTCATCTTTTGTCCCATCTCCTCATTTAATAATCATATTATTATTTGGATTTGAAATTTAAAATCCAATTTTAAATTCCAACTATTTATATAGTAATTCCATTAATTTCTAAATTAATATCTAAAAATACAATTAATCAATCTAATTGATTAATTTAATATATTCCTTTAATTGACATCTAATCAAATTAGTTTTCTCAATTAGTTTTCTCAATTAATTCTAACTCTTTAGAATTACTATTTGAATTTTACCTTCATTCAAAAATTGGTGTGATCTTTTAGGTTCACAATTAATACTAGTAGTGGGCTTACAACTCTTTGTAATTTGAATTATTCTAATTAATTCTTATTCATGAAATTAACTCCTTAATTTTAAGAACCCACCTATCATGGGAACATCTAGCAAGTAGCATGAATCTAGTATTAAGTGAATAGCGAGTAAACCTATTTCGATTACAAGTCCATACATGTAAAATCCTTTCGACATCTAATTTCCCGATTAAATCTTGGGTATGATTTTGTCGAAACCCAAATTAATTTAATAACTATGATTTCATTTCAAGTTTAGTAATTCGTTTATGAATCTCTATTCATCCCGCCTTGGCCAAGGACTTTGAATTACTAACTATGAAACACATAGGAAATTCACTTATCTTTATAAGTGTCGAATTCTTTGTTGGCCACTGACAAACTTCCATACATATTAATATAATACCCAAAATATTCCTTTATATGATTGTGCTAGCAATCAAAAGGATAAATCAAAGTAAAATATAACATGCACAAAGTTACCATCGTGCCTCAAGTCTAAGGATTAATCATGTACTATTGTAACATGAAAATTCTTATTCGACAGATAAATTATCATTAAGAATTTTCATACGGTCATATTCAGTGAACTTGTTCTCTAACAAGCACCCACATATATGTATTTGCGTCCCACGCTAATGTTGATGGAATGAAACATTCTTGTCCAACAAATATACATCATATGTGCAAGTCTTTTCCGGATTTATTCGATATCCCATCTCGAAACATCCAACGACTTGGAACTGTATTTAAGATCACAGCTTTCAAAGTATGTTCCATGATCACCATCTCTATGCGCAACCATACCTTATAGCTATATGTGATCTACGGATTTTATCTTAAGTGCAAATATAGGATAAATGCTTACTCTTAAAATAAATTAATGCCTTTTAATTAATATAATTCCAATAGATTGTATTTACAAGTAGAATACGTCCAATCTGATTGGAACGCCGGGTGTCCTACTCTAACAAAAGGGGCATCCCAAATGTCGAGGTCAAAAGAGAGACGTTCGATTAAAGATGTTCAAACGATCGGGATTGAGGCTTGGCAAATATGAAAGGCTGTAGATCGTGAGCGTAGAATTCGAACTGTGTTCTACGGACAAGATTAAAAGGAGTACCTGGGGTGTGGAACGACGTTTTCTGACAAGACGCAGTTACCAAGATTGCATAAATGACGACGCCAGAGCTTGGCATGTTGACTGGACGTGATATGACATTCTTGTGCCAATCCCGGGTAGCTCGTCCAAGAATGGGGGGACTAGATAACATAACACTCGTAATAGCTCAGGAAACTGGCCAAGAGTGGTCAGCTCGGCTCGAGTCTGTTCAAGAGAGTTCAACTTGATCTCATGCACACATATGGTAAGAAGCTCACTCGAAGGGCTCGGTAAGCAAGAAAGACTAGGTTGGGTAGCTCGTAGGCCGAAGAACATAGGAAGCTCATATATTTGGTGAGACCTCATGGTCAGTAAGTTGTGGTGGTGACCTGGGTATGGACCATGCTGGGAATGTATGTAGGTCACGATTGCTACCTAAATATGGACCATGGCGGGAAAGTGTTGAGGTCGTGGATGCGACCTTGGAGCCAAAGAGTTGTCATGTGAGGGAAAAGACTCCTACGGAGGAAAGAAGTATATCTTATCCAAAAGGCTAGAAGATGTTAGAGGCGTGATGGGTTAGAAAAGTAGATTCGAGATAATCTCTTTCCTAACAAAAATCTCTCGGAGGCCAAGTTACCCTAGATATTTAAGATAAGAGTAAACCAGGTGACTTTACAATACACACAACAGATATACATTTACAATACAACCTTTCATATACTCCTTCAAGAAAAATCCTAACTTGAGCGTCAGAGTGTTTATGTCGGGATCTCCCCAGCACTCTGCAGGTCGTTGGAGCACGTGGAGGTGGAGATCAAACCCGGTTCCAAACTCATTTACACATCATAACGTGCATTTGGAGTTCTTCGATCATGTTTTGACATTGTAGCAGGATCTGATACGCTATTGGGAAAAAGAAGTTCTACATGATATAATAGCCATATGCATAATTTTGGATAACATGATTCTCAAGGATAAACATGACCTAAGTGCACCGATCGAAATTGAGATGCAAACGCCGCCGTTGGAGGACGAAATATGGATAGATGAAAATACTCGATTTCAAAAAATGATCATATTGCCATTCGAAATGCACTAATTGATCATTTATCGAAGGAATACATCAATTTCGAGACTTGAAAGACTATCTGTTTTTTACTCATATGAATAATTATTTTATATGCATCTCAATGTATTTTATTTTTCAGCTTGTGCATACAATTTTTAATTTTTAATGAATATTTATTTTTTATGAGTACGAATTTGAATTTTATATTTAAATTTATTACATACATTTTTAATCAATTTTAAAATAATAGTGTAGTTTACTTTATAAAGTTGTAAAATATGTGTGCAGTATTAAAAATTGTACCATTGGATGTAAAAGAGTATTTGTAGAATATATTTTGAGTTTGATGATGAGCTTCTCGAAATGGCCGTAGAGTATGTTTGTTTACAAAATAATTGATTCACATACAATTTATACTCAAAATTTAACTTAACTTTAACTTAACATCATTGTCCTAAATATTATCAATATAATTAAATAATACAAACCAATTATTCTTACACATCAGATTAACTTTAATTCATTATTCATCAACTCACATAATTGTAAATGATTATCACTTCACATTATTTCGCTTCTACTTTTACATTAAATCAACTTTAATTATTTGATTATAAATATTATTTTAATATAAAACTAAAATCTCACTAAGGGCACCCTCAACGCCACCTTTTTTTTGGCCTTCAACACGCCACCTTTTTTTTGGCCTTCAACACGGATGTGACCATCCATTAAAACTATGGGGCCCTCTATAGCGTTCAAGGGGCTGAACGCGTTCAACCTCCTTTTTATTTTTATTTTTTATTTTTTTTAGTTTTAAATCAATTGTTTAGTTATAATGGGTCTCATATATGTATTTAAATGAATTGATAGGAATGTGGGTATGTTTTTAAATGTTGAGAGATTTAGTGAAAAGATGATGTGGAGATGATGTGTATGAGAGAGAGTGTTACTTTTCGATTGAATGAATAAAAATTGTGTATTTGGATTGCGGATGCCCTAAACAACTAACCATCACTTTTTTTCAAAATTAACCTTAGTTAATAAAAAGAGAAAAGTGCATTTTTCGTCCTGTAAGTTTACCCCTTTGAACAATTTAGTCCTCTTCGAATAGCCAATTTCAGTTTCGTCCTCTAACTTTAAAAAAAGGTTGCAGATTCGTCCCCGACTCGCCGGAAACATGCACATGACACGCACGTGATGGAAATTAACGGCTCTTTAAGCCTACGTGGAGCCGGATTTCCCACACTGGCGACCTTATTTACACGTCGAGGACGGAAAATAAACGAAAAAAAAAAAATATCCACGTGCCGAAACACGTGGATCAGGAGGGAAAAACAATGAAAAGGCACGAAAACTGAACAGATATCCCACTTCTTCCCACAATCTCATCGCGTTCCCAAATCCAGATTCTCTCTGAAAAAAAAAACCTCCATCGTTCCCAAATCCCAAAGCCAAAAAAACCGAAATCTCGAAATCAAGTATTGAGAAGCAAGAATTCAAATGATTCCTGAGAAGGTGTTCATCCGGAAGAAGATTCGTATGCACAATGGACCTCCCACATACGGTCAGTGATATTTTTTTTTTTTGTTTATGGAAAATTCGTGCAATGGAATGTTCATTTTTTTATAAAGAACCCTAAATTTGAGGTGAAAATGGTTCATTTTTTAAAGTTCGTACAATTAAAATGAAATGAGGATCTAAATTCCATACATTATAACATAACAATTGTGAGGACGCCCATTAACTATCAAAAGCACATCTTCACGAATCCAAACTAATCAATCAAAACGTGGCGAATCCATTAAGGGCTCGTTTACATTGAAGGATGGGATAAGACAATATTATCAATTTAAATTTACAGCTCATCAATCAGTCCATTGTTTACTTTGAGGGATGCAATTTACATAAATATATCCCATCTTTACTTCGATTGATTAATTGACAAGATAAACAACAAAAGACTAACGTACCCTTATGCACAAAATCAAATTCATTCTTCTCCAAATTTTACGGTCTACACTCATCTCCATTTTTATCTGAAATGAAAAGCCCTATTTTGAAATACAGAGCTGCGCGACGATAGAAGCTGCGAGAATGTTGCTCCCGACGAGAAACCGTTACTTCTTGAATTCGGCCGTACGCGACGTTCTCCCTCCACAAATTAGGTAAATACAGAGTTCTCGATTTTCCCCTCTTTTCGTCAAATTGAAAAATTCGAGCTGTGTGCTTTCATTCAAGGATTTTTGCCTTTCTTCTATGTGATTTTTGCCCTTCGTCAAATTGAAAAATTCGAGCTGTGTGCTTCTCGATTTTCCCCTTCTTCTATGTAGGACGACGTCATTTCGGATTAGGTGCTCCAAACAGGTTTTGTTGTGGGCTTGTATTTATGTATTTTAATTTTACTTATTATTTGTACCGTGAATTGCTCCATGAAGACTGAATTAGTATGAATTTGATTTCCTGATTATATGACAATATGAGATGGTATATTGGACTGTTTTATTCGAACTTGTTTCCGTGGCTATATGTTTTTTACGAATATATGAGATTGTGGACTTTGTAATGGTTGTGTACTGTGGTACCATTTTTACATGTATGGTGATAACATGAACATATGGCACACTTTAATGAAGAATAGTTCATCATCTATTAAAATGTTCAGTGCTTTTCCGTTCCTTTTATTTTTCTGCTTCCAAAAATTCATTATTTGACTTGGAGCTTATTGAGAGGCTTTGCCGTTTTTCATATATAATAATCTGAAATCATGTTCCTTATTCGTATGAAGAATTGGAGTTCTTTGGGCGTCACTTGAATTGATTTTTACACATAAAAACTTACTCGGGTGAATACTGATCTGATATCTCCTGTTTGATGTGTTTTCATACATTAACATTCGTCATCTTCTAGGCTGTATGCAAGAACGAGCGAAGGGAGAAGTTACAATGGTAAATTGGGATGATAATCTAGTGAATTAGCAATTACGGGGCGCAGTTAGTAACATACACATCATATGGCTTTGATAGAATGACATTTTACTGCTCTTCTACTAAAGTGGCTTAAACTTTTTCGGTTATTTTTGGCTATGCTCCCTGTTTTCAAATATGCATCTGTTATCAAATCCCAGAAGTTTAATCAACTTCTTCCGTTAGTGTTGGGTCTCTCTGAAAATGTGTTTCCTTTTTTTAAGTCATTTCAACTAATTGAAGTTTGTTGAGGCTTTTATAATTTTTTCATTAAAATGGTTCTTTGTGCCTTTTTAAATTTACACGAATGCTATATTTTATCATAATATTTTCCATTTTTTCAGCCAAATACCATGTCACAGGGTTCAAACACGAGTTCAAGCAATTGGTATTACAGATCCTCTAACAATAGGCCGATGGAGGTTAGGTTGTGTGGTCATGGTGATGAATGCGATGTGTTGACATCAAATACGGATGAAAACTCGGGTCGAAGGTTCATCAGATGCCCTCGTTGGAAGGTATGGTTTTGATAACACTTGTGGAAAGTTAGTCTTTGATAACACTTGTTGAAAGTTTTGATAAGGATGAAAACCCGGGTCTTATGAGATGAACGGTGGTTGATTAACCAAGATTATATTTTGGTTAATGAGGAATTTACATTCACTTTTGCCTCTTTCTTATGCTCATTTATGACAGTCGAATGAACCGCCTTGCACCACGTTTGCTTGGGTGGGGTAAGGGGGGCTGCTGTGACCCACTAACAGCAGCCCCAGCTGTTATTTTACAACCATTAGATCATTTATAATCTAACGGTTAAAAATTGGTTTTTTTTCTCATTGTGTAAACAATTATTTTCACTAGTTGTACCCTTTCTCTCTTTCCAGAAAAAATACACCGCCAGCAAAATCCTCTCCGTCGCGGGCTCTAATGCCGCAACTGCCGTGGTTGTCCGCGCCATCGCCAACGACCTCCTCCCGCCGGAGCTCCACGACAACATTTTCTCCGGCATCTGCCGCCTCCTCTCCGCCTTCTCCAACCAGCTCACCACGGTCATCGACGAGTTCGACGGCCTTGACCCCAACGACATCTACCAGGTTGCCGAGGCCTACTTCGGCCAGGCAGAGTTTCGGGAAATTAGAAGGATTAATTTCAATTTTGTGTGTTTTTTCCTTATTCTATGGTTCAATTTTTTTTTTTCTTTTTTTTTTCTGTTTAAGCAGAAATATGGAAAGGAGGGATTATCAGAAGAAGGGACATTTACGGATTTTGGAACAAGAGAAGAGGTTATTGGAAGAGATACCCGACATGGAAATGGAGGACACAACTAAGAGGCTAAGGCAAGCTTTTTCCAAGGCGAACTACAAAAAACGCAAACTTATGGGTGCCGTGGATCTTGTTCGACTAAATCTCAATCGTCTATAAGCCACAATCCAGCATTGATGGACACATGATAAAGTTGTAGTTGATGATGATGGAGAAAAAGAAGACGACGAGGAGCTTTTTAGATATTTTCTGGCAGATTGCTTTTGTATTTAATCAGTCTAGTGTTCGGTTAGTACTTAGTTGGTTTGCTATTAGCTTGCAACCATTTGTTCTTTTCTAGTTATGTAAGTAGGAAAATCAGTGGATTTCTCTTTAGTTCTGCTGTGCTGGTTTAGAAAACAGAGAAGAAATATCATGGTTGGTTGTGAAAGGAAAAAAAAATTTTCTTGCATTTGTGCAATTTACATCTTTTGCTTTTGCTTTGTTATGCAAACTGAAGATCATTTTGAACACACACATGCATGGGTTTTTCAAATGATTTTGTGGTGGAAATGCACTTGCAGTAGCAAATTTTGAATTGTCGGAGTACATTTGGTTGCATTTTACGAAAGAAATACATTTTAGTCTGCAAAATTGGAAACGTGAATAAAACACAAAAGCCATTAGAATCTGCAAACATAATGTAACCAAACGCTAGAGATTTCGATTTCCTCATATAAGCTAAATAAGTCGAATCTTATTTCTTCTTCGACTCAAAACACTTCTCCTGCATTCCTAAACTCACACACACAGACTTATAAATCAGAAACTACAGGCAAAATTCCCATCCGCAAAAAAGCTTCCCAAGATTCATCATCAAAATCCAGTTCTTACATAACGAGCACACAAAAAGTACAAACAAAAAATCTTTAACAAAACAAGAACAAAGGGGGGAAAACTCAAACCCTACTTTTTATTTCATTCCCCTAAAAAAAGTAAAAAAATGGAGCTCTCAAGCTGCCACAGCCAAAAAATGGAGCTCTCAAGCTGCCATAGCCTGCTTCCTGACGAAATCCACCCCTTTCTCAATACTCACCTTAAGCTCCGGCTTGAGCTCCTCCAATCCCTTACTCTCATACTCGGTCAGCCCCTCGAGATCCTTCTTCACAAACCCTTCCACCCCTTCTTTCCCAGCGTGCTAACCTTTGCAATAGATATTCTTAACATGCAACACCGTGCTTTCGATCGAGCTTTTCAAAACTTCCTATAGATTATTACATGATACCCCACCTTAATATATGATATAAATCTCTGTGAAGCTGCTCTCACTTTAATACTCAATAGTCCATTTTCCGAACTATAGATGAAATCTTCGTCTTTATTGTTCACCTTGCACGAAGTGGTTTCATGCTTGAATATGCACCAAATAATCTGGCCCCTCGTGCTTTGATTTTTATTGTGTCCTTAAATGCACATTCTTCCACTGCTCCCCTTGGGATTTGTACATGTTGACTAAGCCAATCGGCGCAAAATCGATGCTTTCTTTGAATACCTGTTCACAAATGTTCGATTTTTTGGACTCCATTCGGATAGTAAATTGTGAAATGATATCAGACTTACATACAATCCACTCACTTTTATTGTTGTCTCGTATAAAATACAAACCAAAACTATTTAAACATATGCATAAATATAAATGCCCTAACAGAAATGGCAGAAGCTTGTCATAAGCTGCCAACAAACTTCATCCATTAAGCACATACAAGGTACTGTTATAAAACATTACAGGCTCAAACAAAATCAATTACTGCCACAATGATTTCAAAACAATGTAATCAACTCAAACAAAATCAATCACCAAAATGTAAATATATTTTTTCAGGTAAATACCAAAAATCAATTTTATCATTTCTTTTATATCAAATAACACCAAGACAAGAGGATCAGAGGAGGGCACCACTAGAGTAATATGAAATTGATGTTGGACTTGTAAGTATAAAGGCTTTAACTAGTCTAATTCCTATCTTACCAAATGATATTATGAAATTATCAAAACTGAACTTAACTTCAGATTTCAAATAATATGGAGAACAAGTGAAGGACTTGATAGTAAAGATATGACAGGATACCATAATATTTAACATATTTTACTTCTGCCCGGAATCTTAAACATATGAAAATAGATTCTTAAGCATTTTTAGCTTGTACACATGCAGATAAGCCTCATGGTTCAACAAGATATTTATAGGAAACCAGAATTAAGAACTAAATGTAACTTCTTCCCATTGTGGTGGAACATAATCCATTTCCCAAGACTGTAAGATAAAAAGCTAGAAAACTAGTGCCTGCACATTACACTTTCTTTCATGAAAAGATCCTAATCATTTACAAGGACCAACAAGTCTTACAGAGAGAGTGAACCACTAATCTACGCATGTCCAATAATAAACCCTTACTAAAGAATGCAAATTACCATCAAATTTTGGAACAAAATGACAGGCCAACATAGAACTTCCAACCAAAAAGATAATTGATGATAGAAAGCAAAAAATATCAATTAGGAAAAATTAGTACCACTATTTACATCATGCAATGCAAAACTACACTGCTACACTAGATAAATAAATGCTACTAACTCGCAAAATCAGAAAAACAAGAAGAAATCAGGGTAGTGGGGGAGTTGTTACCGGATACTAGTCTGTCCACCTGCAATCACCACAAATAGCCATCTATGTTAGACATGACACTAGGAAACATAAGCATGCTATGTACATGTTAGATTAGCAGGTTTGCACAATTGGGAGGTCATCTGTGGAAAAATGTGAAAAAAAAAAGCATCAAAATGCTAGGCACAGAGAGTGGTCTTTTTCATTCTCATTTGAGAGTCCTCACCAGCTCGAAACAGTGGACAAACAACTCATCTAAGCTAATTATTTCTTCTTCATATTAAGACTTCTAATGAGAATGAGTTGTTACAAGTTCATAGTCACAAATCTCCAAAGGTTTCAACTTAAAAGTACAAATTTGCTATGATAGTAGCCCAAAAGAAAAAAAAAAGCTCCCTTGTGGCAAGAAAGAATATTACACTTCTGCTATATTCTAACTAATATAAACAAATGCTGAAAATTTAAGTTTGACGACATAGTTCTACATGCCAACAAGGTTCAGACAAATCATTCTGGTTAAGTGCACAAACATACCTAGATCCCAAACTTGAAACTTTATGTTGTTGTGTTGCACAGTCTCAACATTGAACCCAATTGCTGCAAACACAACATGCTACTCGTTAACCAGCAAGTTCGGCTCGACGAGGATTCAATTCAAAATTTTAACATGAGTAGTTGATTACCCCGATTTCTTGAACCACAAAATCAACAAAATCAATCACCAAAATGGTATTTACCCCGATTTCGTGAACCACAAAAAAACGTTGGGTGAATTTTCGAATAAAAAAATAAAGAATCCAGTGGCGGCGGAATGAACAACACGCCCAACGCATTGAAGCCTGAACTAGCGAAAACGAACACAAAAAGGGCGCGAATATCTTACCTTGGCGGCGGAATGTCGAAGCCCTCCCTCCACTTCTCCTTCTGCAAGATCGATTTTTAGGTTATGGCAAGATTTGGTTCAGCAGCAATTAATTGGTGGGTATCGGTAATTAAGTGGATGTTCAGGGGTGTTTAGGTATTTTTACATGCAGTTTATGAGGGTGAAATGGGAATGAACAGTGCCGGATAAAAAAATCCGGGGTTCTGGGCGGGACTAAAATTATCGACGAATGAATGATATAGATGTGGGGCCCACTGCCACATGTGCAGCCACTTCAATTAGTCATATCCCAATCCTTAGATGTAAACAAAGGATATGGAGGGATATTTCAAATTATCAATCTAATCCTTCAAAGTAAACGGGCCCTAAATGACTTCCTGATCCGATACAGTTAAAGTAACAATATATTGGCTACCCAAGCAAATTTTGTCATAGAAATCAAGCTTAGAAATCTAATGTGAAAACCCCATGAACACAAGACGTGCTTTCCAAAAACCCAGATTCATCCATGCAATATACGATTGATTTGGTATTCGATTTCAATAGCCCATGCCTCTAATAGCCACAAATTTTTCCTTCTATCTCTAAATTCCACTCTGAATCCCAAATACACAAATTTCTAGAATCTTCTAATCCATATTAGATATCATCTGATCTCAAGAACCACTAACCATAAAGAACATTGCTTTTGCCAACCCCTCCATCAGATTGATTCCCCATTTATGAACAATTATCTCTCAATCCCAGGCATCAATTTTTTTTCTTTAATTTCAAGGGTTTGCTGTAATGTATCCCTGTTTTTCAGACGTGTTGCTAACCCTCACCAGTAAGTCAAAACGATTTTGCAAACCCATTCAACAGGCAACCAAACATATACACGGGCTATGATAGTTCTACAGGCATTTGACAAACTACTAAACATATCAAACAAAAGATAGAATTTTTCAGAACTAATCACCCTTAATATTTCAAGAAAATCCAGTACAAACTCAAGAAACAAACCAAGAACAAAAGGAAGTAATTGGGTTTTTTTTTTCTCCTTTGATACCTTTAGTCCGCCATTAAAACAGTTGCATCAATAAAGTCTTGCTATTAACGCTTTCCTGCAAAAGGCTTTGGGGTTTTCTTTCTCTCTTGAGAAGGAGAGTAGGAGATGGGAATGCACTGTGTGCAGTTATATGCAAAGTTGCAAACTACATATTTTTTAGTGTTGGAAAGCAAGATCTGAAAGTGTAAAATGTGTGCTTTGGTGAAAATACAAAAGAAAAGGAAAAAAAAAATTGAAAATGCTTGCTCCAAAATATACAATACTAATACAATACCTGTGTATTACACGAGTGTTGAATTAGAAAGTTTTTGTAAAAAATATTACATTCTTTATGTTTTTAAAAACTAAAATAATTTAAAACATGAGTTTTAATTAAATTGTCAAATTATATTTTTTTAATCATACTAATTAAACACCCGTACATTAAATGAAAAACCCGTGTTGAATTTTTTTTACTTATATCATATAAAAATATCGATATTATTTACTATTACATAAGTACAAAAATATATATCTTAAATAAATAGAAATAATATGGTGATATGTATATGCATAAGTGTAGAATATGTTTATTTAATATTAAACAAAATAGATTAATTTTTTTACATAATTAGATGCCTAATATGTCGTATCAGTCGTGCTTCACAGTTTTTTAACTTTATATGTAATTTTAGAATTTAGATAAATAATTATTTATTTTTATTACATTGACAACAAATCAATTAGATTTGAAATAAATATCATTTTTAAAAGAGTACATACCAATTTCTATTACTTTATAGTATAATTTATAGTTTTATTTGATATAATTTAATTTAGTTTGATAAATAAATTTAAATTTTATTTATAAGGATATATATTACTGTTTTGTATTTTAGGGACTTCATAATATCAATTCAAATGCAACACACTAATTAAGATATTTTTTTCTTGACAATATTAACCTTATCTAATGGATGTTATGGAAACGATGGAGATGGGATATGAAGACACTGTATATTAGATGGAGGGTTAAAAATGGAAAAATAAACAAAATATCTAAAACAACATTTATTTATCAATGATCAGTTAAGCCAAAGTGACAAATAATAAAAATAGGAGGGAGTATATATTATTATATATTTTAGTATGACACATGTTAATTGTGCGACTTATATGTGCTACATTATAATAAATTTTCTATCTTATACCATATAACTACATTAATATAAATATATTAATTGATAAATAATTTTATTTTATAATTAATTTTAATAAATAATTTTATTATTATTATAAAGATAAATATAATTTATTTATTTTATATACAATATGGATATCAAATCGAAGCTCATCAAAAGATGATTAATTTGATATACTATATATGTAAAACTGATAAAAAAATACAAAAGTTATCAACTTTTAAAATATATTTGCAATTCAATGGTTAAAATAGGAAATTATATTATAATATAATTAATAAAAATATTAATTTATATCCAAGCCTAACTCTAAAGCATGATTTTTTGCCAAGTAGGATTCTGAAGCATAAGAGTTTGCCACGTAAGTTCAGCGCATTCTGAAATTATAATAAATTTTCTATCTTATACCATATAACTACATTAAATATAAATATATTAATTGATAAATAATTTTATTTTCTAATTAATTTTAATAAATAATTTTATTATTATTATAAAGATAAATATAATTTATTTATTTTATATACAATATGGATGTCAATTCGAAACTTATCAAAAGATGATTAATTTGATATACTATATATGTAAAACCGATGAGAAATACAAAAGTTATCAACTTTTAAAATATATTTGCAATTCAATGGTTATAATAGGAAATTATATTAAAATACAATTAATAAAAGTATTAATTTATATCCAAGCTTAACTCTAAATCATGATTTTTTGCCAAGTAGGATTCTGAAGCATGAGAGTTTGCCACGTAAGTTCAGCGCATTCTAAAATTATATATAGAGGAGATATATTGTCTAAAGTTTGTATTTTGTAACGATGCATTGGGAAATGAGGATGTGTGACGTTGTTTGTAACTTAGTTTAGAAAATTTCTCTATTTTTAAGTTGGCATATTATTAATCGAGATTGAAGAGTGTTCGTATTGACTCGGAAGATATGATAATAGAAGTCAATATAAAAAGCATTAAAGGAATTATATGTGTGAGCAAAGGTCGGCCAAATACATTAATCGATATTCAATGTTTGACACAATGAACGAACGGTTGATCGACATTGAAGAGTGTTCGTATTGACTCAGATGTGGTAATATAAGTCAATATAACAGACATTAAAGGAATTATATGTGAAAGCAAAGATACACCAACAAACGAACGGCTGAGTACGTTAGTCGATATTCAGCTTTTGACTCAACGAATGAAAATCAATTGCACGTTTAAATTAACACAAGTTCATACTTTGATCAAAATTCATTTTGTAACTAGAAGCAAACGTAATGAATTAATTACACGCGATCATTAATATGCGTACAACCTTGTGAATCATGCTACATTATCAGAATGATGAAGCATTTGTTGTTGTTTTCATCATAATATTACCAACTACAATCTCAAGGATATCATTGCCTTAGTATTTGTGACACTCCACACACTTAAATATCAAGGATATCCGCAGAGAGAGGAAGAGGAAGAGGTTTAATACACCAGCTGAGACCACTGATAGAAAAGGAAAAACAATGTTTACATTTATTGATGTTACAAGCCAAGTTGATGAGTCATGAAGGTTGACTAAAATCCTAACAAGAAATTGTTAAATTCACAAGGAAAACAGTTTCAGTAAGTGAAAACACATGTCAAATGAACTTGTTACATAATGAGTCCATTCCGTGTCACAAGATTGAATAACGAGTCCATAATTTGGATCATTCAGAGCCGAATCCATGTTCTCCATCATAGTACCTGGTCAATTAACTATTTAATCAGAAAGTCAAAATATAAGGTGAATATCACATGCTAGAATGAACCAATATTTCTCCTAACAAGTCAAATGAACCAATATTTCATCTCATATCAGTCATATCAGTCATGCTAGGACATGTAAGTGTCTGAAAACAAAAAATGACAGTAACAATTAAAATCTCTTCATGTATTCAATTTGGCCGCTTGTAATTTCTAACGGATGATATTTACTAGCATTTATCTAGTTTATGGATCTATTTTAAGCTAAATCTGACCTCCCGGGCATTTGATCGTTGCCATATTCAAGTTTCAAATAACAAAAAACAAAGAATGGAAATCCCAAAGTACTGCAATGATATTGCTATACATATACACGAGTAAGTGCCCAGAACATAAATAACATAGATAAATAAAGAAATCACTACACACAACAAGAAAATTGCATTAAAAGATACCTTTTTCACTTGGTAGTAGAATCAAAATTGATGAGGAAATGAATTTAGACCCGTTGCACTGGTGTTCTGTGAGGCTTGGGGGCTGAAGCAAATAGAGTAAACAATATCCAGTTGATGAAATGAAGAAGATAATTATATTAGAGAAACTAAGGATAAAAGTTATACAAGAATGCAACCAAGGAAATGACTGAACCAAGTGACTGGGTATTATCTATTAAAGACGCCAGAATATGCTTTCGAGAAGTCCAAAGTTGCTTGAAGTCATCTAGTAATAGACTAATATAGCCACTTTGAGCATATTTAATGCCCTTCAGAAGACATGTATACAAAAATAAATTTTTAAAGCAAATATGCCCAAATTTGTATTTTGTCATTTTCCGCACTATATTTTAGATGTACATACATGCTCCAGAACATGGAGCTAAAGCTCACTGGCTAACATTAAAATAAACTCACCATTTGGATTCCCTTGCTCATAGAAACTTCGTAGAAGGTTGATGGCTTCTGTTGCCATTATTCCGCCGGTGCACTTGAACTCCTTCCTAAAAGCCCCATTACTGATAAAGAATTACAACAATATCAAAACACAAAGTTGGTGGTAAGAATTAGTACCAATTGTCAATTAAAAAATTATTCCTCATTTCACCACATAGAAACAATTCCCTTGACTAGCCAAAAAATATTATGAATCAAACCACTCTGAGAAGCTTTATTAAATGATACAATCCAATCACGAGATATAATGAACTAATGAAGTAAACATAAAGGCCTGAGTCCAAAATTAAGTTCTCATTTTTCATATTCATTGAGTACAGATTCAAGCATCTTACGAAGAGAAAAGATCCAGAATTCTGACATGTCTCAAACAAGATAAACTATCAAGCAGGGAACTTATATTCAGCATTTACTAGTATTCTGACCAAGAGTTGCGGCAGTTCCATAATCAATATACTCTCACTTAATAAATTGTGTGCTTGTCTATCCTTGATCCTAAATGTAAATGTACAGAGAATAATTGGATTCTTTACATGTGGAGTTGTGCAATTATAATTCTATTGAGCAATAGAAAGGACTCAAGAATATCAGGCCACAAAAGATTAAAATAGCTGAGATATGTGGATTGGCTTTGTGGTTGCTACATATCATCTCAGATGAGCGGTTTTGCACATGCCATAAGAAGTAAAAGAATCATGGCACTGCACTCTGAATCTTAAACATTAAAAAAGAGGGAACGTAACTAAGTATTCAGTAGATAGCAAAAAGATCATGACGCTCTGAACTATATTAATTTAGAATATTAAATGACAAAGACCATAACTAAGTATTTCTAACAATCACGAATCTTGAGCTCTTGCTTATGTTCGATTTTAGGATCATAATGGAAGTTCACCGGTCAGTATTCTCCACCAATTGCATGAATCAATGAGGTTTTCTTATTTATTTTCGAGAAACATCAAAAATATTTAGAAAAAAGATTGTTCCGTAACCACACCTTGTAAGCTTCCCAGTACCACCTGTGTGCAAAGACAAAATTGATCCACAACCTCCAAACTTATCATTTCCACAGCCATAAAATACTTCTTTTATCCCTGACAGAGAACCACGAAATGACAGCTAATAATACTTCGTGTATGAATTAAAAATTTCAAACAATGTGCAAATCACAAGCAATACCAATAATTGATAAGGCCGCTGCACACATTATACATGGCTCACATGTGACATAAAGTGTGCATCTTGAAAAATTCAAAGTGACTTTTTCCCTAGTCATTCCGTTTTTCCTCCACTGGTCAAGCAGCACATCAATTGCTTCCATCTCTGCATGTCGAGTAGCCTGCAATGCAGCTTAGATATTAATAAGGACATTTGATTGTGTTTGCATGTATGTGTGTGTGTGTGTGTGCTTGATATGCAATTAAAATGATGTAGGAAATTACGTAAAGTCTGAATGTTTCAAGGAAATCCCTTACTATAATGAGGACAAAATATCATGCAACTTACTGTATTTAGGTAATTATGAACTTTCAAGTGATTGATCACTTATAACAAGTGGCACATGGAAAACTGACACTAGCGCAGATCAAGTGAGAGCAAATTTTCATTTTAAGTGGTCAAGGCCTTGTAGATGACGTAGAAAATCTCTTCAAAGCATTGCAGTCAAGAAGTTAAAAGTAGATTCAAAAACATTTACATGTTTCAAAACATATGGTAAAAATGAAAATATAAGTCCATTGGAGAAGGGCAAGCAGTTAGTTGAATTGAGTAGTTCATTAAAAAAAAGGCAATCAGCTCACACAAAGGTAACAAAACATTCACAGATATTGCAATCCTCCAAGTATCAAATTCAAACACCATTGGTATCTTAAATTGTGTTTCCAATTTCCATATCCCAAACTCCAGCATGGACCCATCACAGTGCTTCTATTTACTGAGTGCAGAGAATAACTCAGATGGATTCATTATCATAGAACTGTTATCATTTTGTCATAGAACGCGCTATAAATCACCAGATAAAATTTCTAAGGGTTCCATAGGGCAGTACTGTCTTTTGGGATCTAAAGGTCATGCCAATCATGTTACCAACTGCATCCAATAAAGGTGCTTTGTCCCACTAAAGATTTAGAACAGATGCAGTAGTTTATCAGCTACAGATGTTTAGAGTGGAGGTCAAAGAAGACATGCAAAGAATTGTGGAATGCTAATAATTTTAGAGATGAGAAAAAAAAAAGTGTGTTTAGAATAGGCTAGCTTAAAACAGAGGCAATACATTTCTAGTCTCAGTTGTTCGATTTCTCCCTGAAGAAATGACCTTTTGATCCTCAACAATTACACAACTGGAAAACGTAAGAAAACAAAAACTGATCAGAACAAAACAAGAATACCTCATCAGTAACAATGTTTAGAATTTCAATCCCAGCTTCATCAATTAACATCCAAGTTGCCTGGTAGGGCAGTTGGATTGAACAAAGACTATCATTATTCACAGGTTTGGAGAATTAGATGAAAGTGTTATTTCATATCAACCTTGTTTGGACTGAGGATGAATTATTTTTTACGCTTTCCTCCCGCTCCCAAATGTATATTGTAGGAAGACAAAAAAGAATCTTACCCGACAGGTACTTCAAGGCTGTCCATTGCAAGCTTTGCCTGGAAGAAGAACAAGAAAGCATAATAATGCATTTGAGATCTTTATGTACACATAGAGAAATGTATGCGAGCATGAAAAAAGAAAGATATATTAGTCACGTGATACCCTGGAAACCTTGAATGTAGATATTTGCAATGAACAATATTACACCAAATGAGATTTATTTGCTAAAGAACAACTTCATATCTGTTTTTCATGTCAAAAGTTATTAAAAAAAGGTGGATCATCAAATATATTTTTGGTGATGTATCAAATGGAAGAGCCCATAAAAAGTTAGGAAGGAAAAAGGAAAAAAGAAAAAAAAAACAAAAAAGGGATAGAGGTTACCACATTTTGACTATGAAGTACCAGATTATTGAAAGAGAAAACGGAACTCCAAATACAGTCTCTCAAAAAGACTAAAAAAAAGAAAGTGAAGGATAAAAAAGGACACTCCTCGAACCTGTTCTAGAGCAAGCTTCATAAATGCCACAGACTCCATATCTTCAACAGTCCCCTCATCAGAAGACGCCATTTTTGCTAAATAAAAGGAAGGCATGAGAAACGAGTTGTATCAAATATGCTAGCAAAACCACAAATAGTTCTTTTCTTTAAGAGGCATTTCCACAAACAGATAGAGGGCTCCATTAAAATATGCGTGACTTGAGCATGCGAGCTCGTTTCTACTTATTACGAGCAAGATGGTGAAGGACGCGCTATATAAGATATAACAGTACAGTAATTCTGACCTTGTATCGAGGGATAAGCTCCTACTGGATTTGGTGGCCAGTCGAGTAAAGCGAAAATCGCCTTCAAGATCACTTTTGATCAATCTATCTGAAGAAATAAATCGTGTGGGGCAGGTGAAAGTGGAGTCAGGAAGATAGGTGAAGATTGAAAAGGATGGAAAGAGGAAGCGGACGCCGTGGAAGTGGCGGCGGCGGCCGGAGGAGAGCGGCGGGGCTGGACCGCTGGAGAAGATGGGAAATGATGAAACAAATCAGACACAATAAATATTACATTTTCACGTAAATTTTGAAATCTTATTTCTGCGACAATTTTTTTAACCATCTAATTTTTATTGTCTTGCAATATAAAGTTTTAAAATAGACGTATTTTGTCTCAAATTACATAAAACTAACAATTCGTCTCGTGAAATGGCATAAGAGCTCTATAACTAAATTAATGATAAATTTTAAACGGAAATTTAAAATTAATTTATGTCTTTTGAAATCCATAATGAAACAAACAAAATGAGGTATATTATTGATTTCTAATAATTTGATTCATCGATTGAAAAAAGAAATGGGGTGAATTATTTATCTAAAAAAATAAAAAAACAAGTGGACAAAAATAAAAAGAAAAAAAAATGTGTGGACAAAATCAAAAGCACGTATTACGAGAATACGTTTTTCTAATTTTTTTTTTGAAAAACGTATTTTAAAAATACGTTTTATAATTATATTTTTAAAATAAAAAAAATATTATTTTCGAAAAAAATAAAAGTTAAATGAAAAAATATTAATTATAAAACGTATTTTCAAAATACGTTTTATATTTCTATAATTTATTTTTCTTAAAGAAAAAATTATTAAAACGTATTTTGAAAATACGTTTTTCTTGTAATTTTGCCCCGAATTGATTTTGCTGCCCTAATTTTAGCCCCAAATTGATTTTGCCCTAAATTTTCAAAGTAAACGTATTCTTGAAATACGTTTTTTGTATAAAAAAATTGAAAAACGTATTTCACTAATACGTTTTTAGCAAAAATCCTATTAACAACCAAATATACCTGTTCACAACAAAATACACCTGTTCGAGCAACTAATATCAACATATTCGC